GCCGAATGGCTCTCCGTAGGGAGAAGAAAGTGTGAGAAGGATTGTTCCTGGAAAGTATTCTAGCCCTGCCTTACTGTTGAGCTCTTAGCTTCATGGAGCACCAGTCTTTTGAGGGTTGTCACTGAGCTCATTAGATCAGTTATACCTTTTCCTTTTATATAAATGAAGTCATATTCTTTCTTAAATTTGATTTTGATTCTATGCAGAGACCTTTATATTCAACAAAAATTTGAATATTTACTGTGTTTGCTATGAATCTAGGTAAGATATGGAAGGAATGTCCTTGTTGCTGGGTACTTTTTTATTAATACTTTTCTGTGTAGACACTTAAATTTAGATTCTTTTTTAAACCTATCCTGTCCTTTGTGAATTTGCTGTATATCATCACTGGACCATTTATCAAATTAAACTTTCTCTTGGGGGGTGTATTATACTGAATGATGTACAAAAATAACTTTACAGATTTGTAATTTATTTTTTAAGTCTGGCAACTTTAGAGATGTACAAAAATAATTGACCGTTAGACACTATTTTGGCAGAAAGATGAGGGACCAGTCTGTACATTAGTACTTTATCAGATTTATTTCAGTAGAAGATGCTTTTTAGAGGAGGGAGGCACCGTAGAAGGTTTTGCTGTCCGAGGGTGTTAGCAAGGAAGCCGGAAACGCTAGAGGTGGGCAGCAGGGCCCAGTGGCGGGGAAGGGTCCTGGCGAGATGAACCTGTGTGCCTTCCAGGTCCCGTGTGCTGTGAAGAGCCACTGCGGTACTTTAATGGAGGAAAGAAATACAGTTTCAGTAGTATCTGACAGATGCAGTTGTGGTTGTGAGTTCAGAGCATGCTGGCAGGGGGCAGGCTGGTGGAGGCAGTGGTGGTGGTGGTGGGGCAGTGATGGCAGGGGGATGGGGTGGTGAGGGGCAGGCTGGCGCGGGCAGTGGTGGTGAGGGGTAGGCTGGTGGGGGTAGTGGCGGCAGCCACAGGCTGGCTGAGGAGTAGATGGGTGTGCATCTGGTGCAGGGTGGCGAGCATCTCGATCCAGAAGTTGCAGTAGGGTGGGAGAGCATGCGGAAAATAGTGTCCCAGGAGGCAGTCCAACTTAAGGTGTTTGGGAATGAAAACCTTCAGTGCGTCCCGGTGTTTGGGCCCAGCTCTGCCCTTCGAGAGTTGGAATAGAACCAAAAATTAGGAGTCCATGCCACCTTCAAGTTTGAAAAGCACAGGTAGCACTTTGTAGTTGGAGCATAAGGAAACATAACTGCCGTTCAGAACGTTATTAGCGATTATCTCCTATAACAGCATTGTCTTATTCCATTTTTAGGGTCATTGCAACCATCACTGAGCCTCTCAAATAACTTACCATCCTCATATGAAAAGTCCATTAAATTGATTGAAAAAGATAAAATGGCCCTGTAGAAGGTTCTTTTGTTTTATGCTCTGATGCTTCTTGGGGGCACCTTACTGGCTCCCTCAGTAGAGCATGTGACTCTATGAGTTCAAGCGCCACACTGGGGTGTAGAGTTTTTCTCAAAAAACAAACAAGCAAACATAAAAATGCGTCCTGTTATCATTCATGTAATCCTTCGGCTGCATAGTGAAGAATAACTAGGATGTAATGGCTTCCGCTCCTTTCCCCCTTCTCCAGCTCCGCCACAGCCTCGGGCACTGTTCTAACGTTGTTGTTTTGTTAGCTTGCCCCCATGGTAATTCTCCTCCCTCTTCTTAAAACCCTCCCTGCCAAGGACAATGTAGAGCATTCTTTCTTGCAATAGATGCTAATTGTGTTCTTAGTGGGGATCTTGCTGTCAGAGCCACAATCACTGTGCCATTGTGCCAGGAGGCTGGGGCACAGTAGTTACTGTGCCGAGCAGTGAATGCTGTTTACTTGGGATGCGTTGTCGCCTGCATCTGTGGGTGAGAACACGCAGTTACTGTAATTTGCCTGGCAAGTGATCAAACATCATCTGTTAAGCAAGTTAGCCATCACAAAGAGCTATTGATTTTCTTCTTAAATATAGAATTTTAATGAGAAACTTGGAGTCCTAGAGATTGAAGGTGTGAGAGCGGCTACCTCTCGTATTAACCCCCTTCTTTCAGGGTATTTGGAGATGAGGTTCACGTATCTCGAAGTTAAGCGACTGGGAATGCTGGCTCCACGGGTCTCCGCTCTGGCGTAGTGACATATCGGGGAAGTGAGGTGACTGGTGTGAGTTAGGGACGAGTCTTCTCCGCAGTGGCCCCTTCCAGACACTCGCGAGTTCCAAAAGTGGGGCCACTGGGGATGCAGTTTTTTCGCTTAGCTCGTTCACCTACAGAGGAAATGATTTTGTTTTACATAGTTGTTGGAATAGGATGGTACTTAAATCAAGAACTCTTGCTGAAATAAGAGGAAACGTTTTGCTCTTTTAAATCACCTTGGTGGTGGTTCGCAAGGATGTTAAGAATCCCAGTTTGGGAGCCGATTATTTTCTTGATCCCCACATCCCGCAGTTTCTCTCTCTCCACCCCACTGCCCATCTGTGAACCCTTTTCAGCTGTCTGTGCATTAGCAGTGCTGCTAGAAGTGGTCTGGGGCATGCCTGTCACAGCAGTCCTCTGTACACTTGCTTCTCCAGGTTTTGTCCCATTCCCAGCAAATACAAACCCAGTTATTGCTTTAAGTGAAGTTTAACCTCATCTGTATTTCTTGGGTGTTCCCTCCTGTCCTGCTTATTAGTACATGTTGAAATGATTGCTTTTCAGAAAACAGATGTTCCTAGCACAGTAATTTGCATCCCTTGAAGGGAGAGTATGTGACGTTTGTTGCTACTTAGGTTTTTACAATTTGAGGTCTTTTTCATGATCCCTAGGACTTAGGAATAGCAGGGGCTGGCAGTCTGGGAGAAGGGAAATAAATAGGCCAGGTGAAATGATGTAGGAATTAAATCATTTGCCCACTATAGGTAATACTCCTTTTTGTTCCTTATTTTAAAGTATTGATGTAATAGTATATATCATCCTATCTTTAATGTTACATAAGTAACATGTGTTCCACATAACTGGGAAAATATTTTTTATAAAAAAATAAACAGCAAATCACCAGCTGATCTCTTCACCTGCCATCAGTAATAGCTGTCATTAAATTTTCTAGCCTTCTGTGATTTTTGTATTGTTTTTCCCTAAGTCTTGTTTTGGACTCATGGCAGCCATTCGTCCTGTTAGGTTTGTCCTGTAAGCCAAGAGCAGGTTTCCATAAAAATTTTTTGACCAACATTTTCTGATACTAAATGGGCTGGGAATTAATCTTAGGAACAAAAAAATATAGGACATATATAGTTAATATAAACACTCCCCACAATTTCTAATTTTGACCTTTTTAAGACACTGACCTTTTATATATACTACAAAACACTTAAATCCTTGTGCAGAAATACAGAGTAGAAAAAAACATTTCTAAGGTAGAAATTCAAAACAAGTTTTCATTATTACACAGGTATATTGTCTTTAATCAAGCTGATTACTAATTCTTAAGTGAAGGGATCCATAGGAATTCATAAATGGCCTATGCTTACATATTTCTGCCTTAATAAATGGAAGTCATTTAAGATATCTTTATGAAAAGTTGCTTTGTCTTTTAATATATATATATATATATTTTTTTAACCTCTTCCCTTTCTCCCTCTGACAAATCAACATCTGCTTCCGGATAGCTAACTGCTGCTGTTTATTTTCTGCTTCTGTGACAGCGAGCCGATGGCGGAATCCCTTCTCTTCAAAGGTCTCACTGGCTTTTCCTTACAGTCCTGTTGCAAGACTCAGCCCTTATAGCAATGGCATTAATACTCCCAGCTTCTCTAAAACCTCAAATAAAGCAATACTAACACCTGAAAGAACAGGTAATCTTTCAACTTCTTGACTAGCTGCTTGCCTTGTCAGTCCGTAAGAACAGCATAAATATCCTCTTCCCTGGACCGTGGAGGGCGATCTTGTGCTGGACGGTGTGTGCTGCACACTTTGGGTACAGAGAGGAGCCCAGCAATCCGTGTTTTAGCACCAGTAACGTGCTCTCCGTTGTGTGTCGTAGGCAGTTTTCCCTCGTTAGCAAAGACCTATGTGTCTGGTGACGTTCCTGAATGCCTAACGTGCTTTTAACATTCAGTGTTGAACACAAGTCAGGTATTTTGTTAGGAGTCAGGAAGATAAGGCTTTTGTGTCTTTGGTTTTTTTTTAATTTTATTTTTCTGATAACTTTTTTTTTTTTTCTTTAATGAAGCCAGGGCTACACAGAAAAAATAGCCACAGTACCTTTTTGTGAGATGACGTTCTCTTCTTTTCCTTATTTGTGTCCGCACTGGTGTGATTCCATTCCTACAGCTTTTCTCCCTTTGGGTCCTTTCTTCCTTTGTTCTCTTACCCAAGTTGTTGCTTTTTTTACTTTTGTGGGTGACTACAAGTCTCCTGTGACTGCTGTGCTCCTTCCTTTATTAAGGTTTTGTGTATGCTTCTGTGTATATATGTGGGTCTTTTCTGTGTGATATTTGTATTCAGAGGATGGCTTGTACCTGTTTGAGAAAAATTTATTTGATTATAATTTAAAAATCAGTTACTACTAGAGATAAGCATATCTGATTATTAATTGAAAGCAAACATGGATATGTATTATATAATGCCTTTAGATCTATACTTACCTAATAGGATGCGGATTTCAGCATTGGTGATAGATGTTTATTTTCTAATTTTAACGCAGTCTACCCTCTTAACAGTTTTTTCTTGGTGTATAGTACAGAGTGATTTTTTTTTTTAACTGTGAAAATTGAATTTGTAAAAACAAATTGTTTTGTTTTTGTGAATTATGGACATGTGAAAGGTATGCATATTGTCTCCCTGTTAAATAGTGATAGGTTGGTCATTTTTGGGTGACACGAAACGAGAGAAAAAGTTGCTGACTTGATACAGGAATTGTCAAGCATGATGTAGACATCCGTTCTCCAGGCTAAATAATAAACCTGTTTGCTTTGGGTTTTAGGTCACAGCTCCAGGGGCTCCCCTCTCAGCCCCCAGTCCTCTATAGACAGTGAGCTGAGTACTTCGGAATTGGAAGATGATTCTATCTCCATGGGATATAAGTTACAGGATCTCACGGACGTTCAGATCATGGCTCGTCTCCAAGAAGAGAGTACGTTCTTTTTGAATTAGAAAACTTCTTGAACTAGAGGCTTCTGCTTGGAATGTAAGCAGGCAGGGGAGGCTCAGGCATTTCTCCTCAGGCAATGGGTAAACATTAGATGCTTTTTCTCATACCACCCCACCTTGGACGTGGGCCAGTTAGTGCTTCTCAGGCTCTCATGGGCATTGGAGGGTGTTAGGATGTAAAAATGTATTCTATATAAAGACATTAATCAGAATGCATTAATATAAAGACATTGTGGTGTAGCTGCTATGGAAACTGTCTGTTTCTTAAAAAAACCGAGCACGCAATTTCTATAGGCCCCGGCAAATTGTAGTCTTGGGCACGTATCCCAGAACAGCAGAAATTTGTGTTCGCACAAATAGCTGTCCATGTTTGTGGTGCTTCATGTGTAATAGCCCCGAACTGGTGTGACCCCAGATGCCCTCCGGGTGGTGCATGATTCATGAAGCTGCGGCGCCCCGTACCCTGGAGTGGCACCGTGCACTCCGCAGCAGGAAGGGGCAGGCTGCTGGTGCCAGCGGCATCTTGGATGACGCTCTGAGGAATGATGCTGAGCGAAAAAGGATGATTTCAGACTGCATAATTCCATTTCTATAACATCTTAGAATGAGAAAATTTTAAAAATGGAGGACAGATTAGTGGTTGATGGCATTTACAGACAGGATGTGGCATCTTGGGGGAGGTGAATGCGATGAAAGGGCAGCACGAGGGATATTTGTGTTTTGCGAGTTTTTGGAGCTGTTCGATATTCTGACCCTGGTGGTAGATATTTGATCCTATAGGTGATAAAATATAGAGGACTTAATACTTCCATGTACTGAGTAAAACTGGGAATATCTAAAAAAAAAAGTTGGGTTTATATCACAATATCCCGGGTGTCATATTATTCTGTAATTTTGCAGAATGCGACTGTTGGGGGAAGCTGGGCAGACTGCACAAGCAGTCTCTTTGTTAGTTCTTTGAACTGCATGTAAGGGTATAGTTATCTTAATATAAGCTCAATTAAAATGCATTAATAAACTTCTCGGGATAAATAATGATCGAAGAGAAGATAATTAGAAATGGGACAGTTTATCACTGGTTCTGCAGTAAAGTTAACCTGTCATCTAGGAGTGAACTACGGCAAGGGTATTTATTATAAAGGCATCAAGAGGCACAGTGAGCTGTCGAGCACTGGATGGGGCTAGGCGTGTTCTGGAGTTATCTTTTCAGGTCAGCATAAAGTAGAAACAGCCAACTATCCTTTCATTGAAGCATGACCATTTCCTGCTTTCAGAATTAGTCAAGGCTATTATGAGATACAGTGTAATGATTATGGAGAGTTTCAGAAAATACATTTTGAGGGGCAAAGAGATGGTTTTATGTTACCATTCAGTAGTAGTAAGATAACAGCAACTTATTCTGAAAACATATGGCTAAACGATTAACGTCACTTCCTGCTTTTAAGAAATTGTGGTATTGGTAATAAGGTGAATAACTAGAAACTTCCAGTTTGACTATTTTTTTTAATTTATTTTTTTTATTTTTTTTAAAGATTTTATTTATTTATTTGACAGACAGAGATCACAAGTAGGCAGAGAAGCAGGCAGAGAGAGATAGGAGGAAGCAGACTCTCTGCTGAGCAGAGAGCCCGATGCGGGGCTCCATCCCAGGACCTAGGATCATGACCTGAGCCGAAGGCAGAGGCCTTAACCCACTGAGCCACCCAGGCGCCCCAGTTTGACTATTTTTAGATGGTTGTCCTTTCGGATGACCCAAAACTATTGAAGTGTCAGTACGCTTTGAAAAAGATAGTAATAAGTAGGACAGAGAAGCGACCTTGTAAGAAAATATTTTGTAGCCTGGGTTTTGAACTTTGCTTTGACTTTGGAAAGCTGGGGCTAGGGACAGGAGGAGTTCCTCCCTGGTAGGAGATGTGATTATTTATATTGTCTAACCCATAACACACTATTCATAATGATGATGTGTAGCTTTTCCTAAGTATCTCTCCAGATTTCAGAAGGGATCATTTGGGGAAATTGACAGACACTGACTGATGAACTGTGGCAGTATATCTGGTCTTCTCTGGAATTGGGGCGGTCTTTTTGCAGAACAGAACTGTATAATATTGGACATCTGTTTGGTGGGTAAATGTGTCGGTTTTCTTGGGATTTAATAAACCATGAGCAGGATAATGGCTCTTAATTTGAGTTGTTTACCTGGCACACATTTTCTTCAGATACTTCATTGCCATTTAATTTTTGCTAGGTTGAATTGTCTCCATAGGTAATACTGTTTCTTGTTGTCCCAGGTCTCAGGCAAGATTACGCTTCCACATCAGCATCTGTGTCCAGACATAGCTCCAGTGTGTCACTGAGTTCAGGAAAAAAAGGGACGTGTAGCGATCAAGAGTATGACCGCTTCAGTCTGGAGGACGAGGAAGAATTTGATCATTTGCCACCACCGCAGCCTCGTCTTCCAAGATGTTCACCTTTCCAAAGAGGCATTCCCCACTCACAGACTTTCTCCAGCATTCGGGAGTGTAGGAGGAGCCCCAGTTCCCAGTATTTTCCTTCAAGTAATTACCAGCAGCAACAGTATTACTCACCTCAAGCCCAAACTCCAGATCAGCAACCAAATCGGACCAGTGGAGGTAGGTTATATGTGCCCTTTGGACTTTAATGTGCTTTGAGCTTTATGTGTAGTAGGAAATGGCTTTTAGGTCAATGTAAATAATTAGTAAATGTTTCCCAAACTTACGAAGTAAGTCTTTAGGACCTTATCAGTTTGGTCTAAGTTAAAATCTAAAACTGACCAGCGTCTGATGACGTGTCCCAGATTTACAGACTTAGGGCTCCAAAAAAACACCATGATGTGGCCACCACAGAATGGGTAATGCGTGGGGGGCATCTTTGTGCAGTTTCTCTTTCAGGGCAAGATGGGCAGGGGCTGCTGGTGGAGTTTACAGTGGAGTCCCTTGGAGGCCTCCACGCCGAGCCGTGGCTCCTTATCTGTCCCACCAGCTGAGTCTCCGGCGTGTTCCCAGCACGGAGTGAGGAATGGGAACTGTACACGGTGATGCTCATGTGCATCCAGATCAAGGACGAGTCTGGGTGTGTCTCTCCCTCAGACGTCTAGAAGTGGGGTCTGTGCAGCAGGAGGGGTAAGGAGGCTGATACTTGGCTTGCTCACCGGAAGTTGGTCTGCCCCAGTGTCAACATGGCTGGCAGAGCACATGTCCTCTCCTGTACTTTTTCTTTTCTCCCACTTCGCCATTTGTCTTCCAGGACTTAAAGTCCTTGACCTTCAACAAACTGTAGGGAGAACAGTCATGTCCTCTTCTAAGCCTGGTATGCTTTTCCAGTAATGACCAGCCAGACTTCATCCCCGGGTCCCATGCAACATGGAGAAATAAACCAGATAGAGAATTATAATTATAGCTTCTAATTATTATATAGCACCATTTCTGGGCCCAGGAGTGATTAAACAGCTTACTTCAAAGTACTGCAAGGCCAAATACAGATCGTATTTGTGATTACCCGTTACCTTTTTTTTTTTAGTTTTCACCTTTTCTTCTTCTGTACTTATACCTTTCATGCTAACTGAAAGATCATTTGAAAATATTGAACATTTAGTCATAATTTCCATTTGAGAACCTTTAGATTCCAGATTTAAAAGAAAAATGGGCAGCCATGTCATGTCATAGTAACTCAACTTACTCAAGCTCATAATATTAGAAAAAGCAATGTGTTTCATGTGCTTAATGAAAGTCAGCCTCATTTTAAAATTGAGGAAAAACGCCCTAAGAATTGTTGCTCTAAAGGTTGTCAGGTATCCTCAAACAGCCCAGCCGTCCCGCAGATGCTGGCTCTGCATCTTGATCAGTGTTGCCAGTGGATCGTTGTCTTACCTTAGAAAAGTGGCTTTACCTTACACCAAACACCATGGTGAAAAGGATTAGGTTTCCTTGGAACTGTGCTATGATGGTTCCTGTTAGGAAAGCAGAGACCTATCACCGCTTAGTGTCCTGACTGGTAGTTTTATTTTTCCTTAAAGCTCTGGTCTCCACATACAGAGAAAAATGGACTACAGTGGCAGTCGTCTGGACTGGACTTGTGCCACCTAGCGGTAAGAGCACAGGCTCAGGAGTCCAGTCCCATTCTACCACAGACACCTTTTAAAGGTTTCTCAGGTCTTTGAACTTTGATTTCTTTGGCTACAAATGTGGCCAAATAATACCTCTTCTTAGAAAACTTAGGTATAATTTCACATCAAACCACCTGGTGTGTATTCTTCCAGCCTAAGGAAGAAACAAAATAATTACTCTTCTTTTGGAGTATAAGTACTGAAGAAAGGGAGAAAGGTTGCCACCCACCCACTTTTCAAAGAAAATAGGACTCACTGGGGCGCCTGGGTGGCTCAGTCAGTTAAGGGTCCAACTTTTGATTTCATCTCAGGTCGTTATCTCAGGTCATGAGACTGAGCCCCACATTGTGCCCTGTGCTGGGTGTGGAGCCAGCTTGGAATTCTCTCCCTCTCCCTCTGTCCTTCCTCCCCGCACATATGTGTGTGTGTGTGTGTGTGTGTGTGTGAGAGAGAGAGAGAGAGAGCGAGAGAGAGAGGGAGAGAGACTCAGCTGAGCCTTCATCTGTTACCACAGAATATCATTTGAGCAAAATTGTGAAATAAGAATGATAACTTGGAAACTATCAAATATTTTGCTAAATCACCACAGTAGTATGGATAGCAGAGAATGATTGTTCAATCATTGATTCATTTAAAAATAATTAAAAAGAAACCAGAAATGCATGTTTATATTTATTGCTTCCATAGCTCCTACACTACCTAGATTCAGAAGGGAGGGCTCTTAAAAAGTTACTGGAGTATTTATAGGGGTAAGGAATTAAAAGGAGCATATTTGGAATCATTTGCCAGATGTGAAAAATGACTAAATCTTGTAGGATCTTTACTCAACGTAAAGGGAGTTGATTGGGCAGGGATTGTCGGTGGCGTGATGTAAGCACCGTTGGCTCGAGGCCCTCCCTTGCACCCTTGTATTGATTGGGAGGCCAGATTGGATTGGTGGGTAACTGAGTACCTCCCTTCCCAAAGATTCTTCAGTCTCTTTTCCTAGAGCGGTAAGTCCTGGTGCCACTTCAATATGAGAAAACTCATTCGGATTCTTGCCTGGGTCTACTCTTTCAGCTTCCTGCTGCGCCGCAGTACTTGAGGGTAAATTGCGGATTTCTTGCGAAGATAGAAATAGAGTGTTATTTTTGATTCCTTGAATATTAAAGTATATATGATCATTAACATGTTCCAAATTGCTTGACAGGAAAGGGTACTTCATTTCCAGATGGTCCCTGACACAGCTTGGAGGTCACAGCTAAACTCCCAGAGGAGTCATGTTCTAAATATTTACACTTGGAAGCCTTTGTTTTTAAGAGCGTATTTCACGTTTAAAGCTTTGTGAAACTGACTTGATGCTCACATGAAGAATAAAGATTGGTTTTGAAAGCCAGATGCATCTGGATGAACAGATTAGAAACCTAACCACCACATCTAATAAGTGAACCTTGATTGATCATGGTTTAGGGGGAGAAGCTTAAGAAAGACTTTCTTGATGTTTGGAAAATTTTGTGTATGGATTATTAAAAACTGTTGTTAATTTGTTTATATTCATGACAGTATTGTGATTCTACAGAATTTTCTTAGGCGCTTCCTAAGATTTCAAAGTACCTGAGTACTTTCAGATTTAAAATTTCAAAGAAAAGAGTTGCAGTTAAGGAATGTCATAGTTAGGGACTAATTTATTAAAGTTCAGAATATCAGGAAGAAAATGTATCCTGTGTGCTTCATGGAAGTCATGGCATCATATTAAAATTGAGGGAGAGGGTCACATGTCAAGATGTCTGCAGCTCTTGTGTGGTTTAACAACCACAGACAAGTGTGTGTTTATATATGGAGATGAATTAATTATGGCAGAATGAAAACAACTAGTATATCTAGGTGGAAAACTGACAGATGTTTATGATCCTACTTTTCAGCTAGATATATGGAAACTTTTATGGTAAATAGTTTGGAAACTTAGAATTACAGAAACACAATTCATATTCTAAATAATGGCATATAATTCTTTCCCAGTGCCTTCCTTCAGCTTAAATATATGTAGTCAAAGTAATTTAGTCCTGCACTGAGAGAGGCCCACCTTTCATGCCAGTTATCGTGACAGTCAGAACATCTAAGCGTTGACTCTAAGATTTATCCATTCTCTCTCCTTTCTCCAGCATACACACAAATAACATTTGCAGAATGTATTAAATGCCTCCTGCCTGGGGTTAGCAACTTTAGCAAGAATTTGGGAATATGAGGCCTGTGGTTGTTAAAAGCAGGCCTCAAGGAGATAATGAGGAAAATGGTGGAGAAATCTAACAGTCACTGGCAGTGTCTGAGCATAAGTACTCTAGACGTATGCACAGGGAGTAAGGACATGGTGTGGGGATGGTAGATCCCTCAGCTCGGGGCTGTATAGAAGTTAGTGAGGTCGATATAATTCTTTCTGGTCTCCTATCTTAGTCCTCTCTACAGTTTCTTATTATACTTTTTCATGTTTATGATGTAAGTATCCTTACTGTATTTGCTTAATTTTCTGTCTTTTCCCTAGACTGTCCCAAGGAGGCAAAAGTTGCTGAATAGGGCTAGAGAGGATGGGTATAAGTGATGTAGAATGAGTAGCGCAAATGGGTTTGGTTTTGTCCTTGGACGCGCTTCGGATGAATGTTCAACTACATCATTCGTTTTCTGATTTAGCTTGAAAGAAAGTGATCACAAACCTGAATGTCCTGACGAGTGTCTCTTTGTGCTTCGGGGCCTATACCAATAAAAATGAAACACCGAGGCGAGTGGGGCATGTGTGAAAAGCACGAGATATTCCAGTGGTTGGTGGTCCTCCAAAGTTCAAAATGTTTGAGTTTCAGAATATTATTTTCAATATTTGTTCCATTTGGGAGAAAAAAGTTAACGTTAAATTTATTTTAGGTTTTCTTTTTGGGATCGATAATGGAAAAAAAGATTATGAAACTCTGGTGTAGATTATAAAACTCAGAGTCAGGGACTGTACGTGTCGTACACTGCCCATACCCCCAACAGCTACCATGCCTGGCACAGAGTATGTACACAGTGAATTCTGGTGCCCATTATTCATTCGCTCCCTCCACAAAGTGGGAAGCGTGGCCAAGTGGAGGGACCAGCACGTCACAGGTGCTGGAGAGTGTGGAACATTTGGGAACTTGGCTCATCCACTGGGAGGCAAGTAGGCTGAGGGATGGGAGTAGCAGGAGATAAGGCTGGGGAAGGAGGACAGGAGCCCATACCTTGAAGGGTCTCACGTTGGCCATGCTTAGGGGCTTTCAGATGAAGGTGGGAGAGTAATCGGAAGGTTTTAAGTGGGTGCCCGGGTGTGTGCGTATGCTCTAGGAAGAGAGCAGGCTGTGTGGAAGATGGGTAGGAGGTACAGGACAGGGTGCTTGGAGACCAAGCAAGAGGGTTTCATGACAATGTGGCTGGTAAATAGTGAGGTCCGAACCAGATGTAGTGGAACATTCATTAACTGTTATGCAGAACTGACAGGACTTGGGGGTGAGGGTATAGAAGGGGGGCGATTTGGAGGAGATGGCCCCAGTTTCTGGATTAGAGGACTTGCTTGCTTGCTGGTCAGGGCAGCCCCAGGTCCGAGTAATTGTGGAAGGAGCTGTGTGTGAAGGGGAGGAAGGAATGAATCCAGTTTCGTACTTGAACGGGGAGGAGGGGGGCTTGGCTTGGTGTTCAAATAGATGCTTTGCTTTCTGAGCTTGGGTGAGTGACCCGGTACCTGTACTTTAGTTTGGGGTCCCTGTGTCTTTCCCGGTTGCAGTCCTGCATTGAATTCCCAGCTCAGCAGCCCTGAGGTCTGTGGGCGGCTCTCTGCTGCCCCTTTGTGGCAGAACGTGTACTCAGCAAGGAGAATGACTGGAAGCGGTCTCTGGTTCAGGTCTCAGGAGGTTTAGAGGCGGACTCCTAGTTAAAACTTTACAGAACTTAATGGGGTCATAGTGATGTGATGAGTGGGTATCTCAAAACACATTGGGTAGAATTTTAATCATTCTTCCCATTTTGATATGCTAGCAAAAGGTAAAGTAAGTGCCGGTTTTGACTCTTCCAGGTTTTTTTTTTTTTGTTAATTAATATGTAACAATTTCTAACTAAGTGGCTGTAAGAGGATTCTCTAACCTCCCTTTGATACTATTTTATCCACTTACTGTATAGAAACAAATAGCTAATTGATTAGCTAATCCCTACTTCTTTTTATGGAACACTTTTTTTTTTTTTTTAAACGGTATATTTGGTAGAACCTTCCTGGAGCTACTGAGTGTGTTCGTACAGAAGGTTAATTCCATGGTAGCTTGTTACAGTTCATAACACACGTGACAATTTTTATCTGTTAAATATGAGCATATATCATTTATGTTTACTTTTGAAAGCTCCTACTTTAATTGGCATAAGCTTTATGATTTTTAACTGAAATTCTTTTCTAGACAAGCTCCGGAGAAGTATGCCTAATCTAGCTCGGATGCCAAGTACAACCGCTGTCACCAGTAATGCCATCTCTCCAGTCACCGTGAGAAATAGTCAGAGTTTTGACTCGAGCTTGCATGGAGCTGGGAACGGGATTTCGAGAATACAGTCTTGCAGTGAGTATGACGATTTGTAATTTTTTTTTTGTAAGTTTCATTTGTAACACAATTAGAAAAATATCTTACTATTCCATTTTTTTCTTTTGAGGACATAGCAGGAAATTTTTCTCCTTTTATTTTTTAACTTCACATAATTTAGTATTTTCATTAGTGCATATGTTAATAAGTTAATAATTAGTAAATTATATTTAATCTTCACTATCCAAGGATAGCAGAAGAAGTACTACCGGATGATTCATTTGTTCACTCATTGTCTAAACAAAGATAACCTCTGTTTTCCTCGCAGGTCTGCCTCTTTCTAGCTCTGTCTGCTCGATGCCTTTCCTCTGAAGAAAGCACACTTGTTCAGTCTTGCTGTTACTTTGGTCTTGTTGTTCACCAGTCCAGAGCTTTGTTCCACCCAAAATGAAGCTCTGTTTTAGCGTGTAGAGTAGTATTTATCGGCTCCCCTTCAGCTCACTACAGTCTGTCATTCATTCTCTGTATGCTATACCCAGCAGTGAGCAGTGCAGTGAGCGTGAAATCTCAGATGCACGTGTTTTTATTTTCTGTGGGCATGTGGTGGTTCAGGTGTCCCCCTCCCATTCCGACTCATGCTGTTTATGTGGGTAGTTGGGATTAAGTCTGAGAATGACCCCTGGCAGGCAGACTGAGGCTCACAGTCCCAATAATGATGTGGGCCAAATACAGGAGGCATGAAGAGTGTGTTCAGATTGGCCGACCAAGAGTCATCAGCCAGATGTCTAAATCGGCACCCAGAGTGACTTGAAGCCCTCCTCCCTGAGTCCAGTTTTGGGGCTCAAGTGGTATTTTGCCCCATGGGACCGTTTTTCATTTCAAAGTGGGAACATTTACTGAGCGGGAGGAATGGTGCTAACTGGTTTTTATCTGTTGTCTTACTTAGTTCTGCCAGTAACCCTATGAGGTGGTTTTTGTCCTAGCTCCCATTTTGCAAAGGGAGAGAAAACAACAGTAAAAGCTGTGCAGGTGAAGGAATAGAGCTAGAAACTGTTCTGATTACCCCAGAGTTTATGCCTTAAACATATTCTGACTCCGGTGTGCTGTTCTTTCCCTTTCTTTATGCAGTCTTTGCTGTTTACTTTTATCCTGCAGCACAAACACCACACACCCTTTGAAAAGCCTCCATTGATGATCTCAATAGATTTCCCCATAAAGTTCCAAAACAGATCTAGGATGGATTTGATTTTTGGTGCTCCCCTTTTTCGGTGTGTCCTATTTCACAGTCTTTGTATTTATCGTCCACACTAGCTCATTGGCTCCTTCTGGGCTTGGGCCCTAGCTTAGCTGATATTCTGTGCCCTGTACCTGGCACCTTGCCTGGTATTTGACGAGTTTGCTGGGAGGGTTTGAATGCATGAGTAAGTGAATGCCCTACGGCTGTCTTAGGCCTTGATCTGTTAATACTGGAATTAATGACTTGTGTCAAGACACAGAAGACAACTTACAGAATTTGCTAAGGGTGGCTGGGTGGAGGGAGAGCTGCGACTTTACTGTGAGGCAGCTGGGGAAGCCGGCCAGACAGAGCTTGATGAAATTTAACTGAGGTGAGCACACAGCTCTCTAGTTGAGTGCAGGAGTCAATAGGATTAGCGTAGAATGGGAAAACAGTCGTGACAGTAGCAAATGTGGTAATGATTAGGAATTTTTGTTAACTCCGACTCCATGTGGGTTAATATAGCATGATTTGAGTGCCAGAACAATGTATATGGATGTCCACAACAGAAAGTGGCCAGTTTTGACTGACACGCTCAGAAACTAATGGGGATCTGTCAGAAGGACATAGAAAATGCCTTGAAGTGCCCAGGGACCAAATCTGTGACAGTCGAGGCCACAGAAAAAAATAATGCAAAAAGATTCTAACCAGTAGAGTAAATAATTACAGGTCCATATTTAATGGACAAACTATATAAATGGAGAAGGGGAAATTTTTCTTTACAGAATTCCAATTCATCAATGTAAAAAAAAAAAAAGAAAAACCAATGTTTGAAAATCAAGCAGTATAACGAGAGAAGAAAAACCCTTCAGAGCACTGCTGTGTAAGAGAAGGTCAGTCATACACTTCTGTCAAATCTCAGGATTCTCTTTTCATTTACTTTTATTCGTAAGTGTTCATGTGATTATTATGTATACATTCTGGGTTTATATCTAACGATTCCTAGTTCTGGGCCATTTTACTTTCTGGGAAACACAAAGGTAAGATAATGTTGAAAAGGCAATGTGATACAGAAGGAAGGCCACTGGATTTGCAGTAAAAAAAAAAAAAATCTGAGTTTGGGTCTTAATTATAAGATCTTGAATAAGTTATATGTTCTTCTGATTCTTGTTTTCTTATTTGTACAATTGGGATTTTGTCTTAACTCGCATTGTTTTTTCTACTTCCTCTTAAAATACTCGATTAGTTATCTTGAATAGTTATTGGTTTTGTATATAGGAGTATTTATAGGATGCTTTTCCTGAGTAACTTGTATAATTTCATTTCAAATGATATGGATTGGGGTCACTGAAACCATAGATAAATTTTAGAATTGGAATCTTCGTAATATTCTTCTAACTCACTACCCTGGGACCCCTTTTCATTTTGATCTTCTTCCGTGTCTCCCACCAAAGTGTTTGTAGCTTCTTGGTGGAAGTTTTCTGCCTCATAGTTAAATTTATTCGTAGGTATCTGATTTTTTAAATATTTTTATAGGCACTGTTCTTTTAAAGTTTAGTTTCCGCTTTGCTGGTATTTAGAAATAGTTTTTCTTTTTGTATTTTGATACTGTATTTAGAGACTTCGCTAATAACTTCATTTATCCTGATGGTTATAGAATTTGGAATATACCTTACCTAGTGAGTGGGTATGAACACTGAAACCTATTCAAGAATGTTGCCCAGACCCCACACTGAAATAACCCAGCCTTTCGTCATCAGCCGAGCAAACTGTGACATTCAATGTAATGTCATATAATGCAGAGTAGTGCCGACAACATGGCTAAATCTCAGAAACATGATGCGGAGTGAAAGAAGCCAGAGAACGTACTGTGTAATTCCATTTCTATGAAGTTCAGAGTAGGAGTAACCAATCTGTGGTGACAGAGTGAGAATAACTGTCGCCATTATGGGGACAGTGAGTGGGAGAGGGGTAAGAGCCTTCTGGGCTGCAGGTAAGGCTCTGTCTTTGACTGGTGGTTCCACAATGTGTTCACTTTGAAAATCGAGTGCTAGACTTAAGATTTATGTACTTTATGTATATTAAGTTTTTTAAAAGCGACTAAGCCAAATTCACATTGGTGTTTTAAATCTAGGCTTTTTCATCCTGAGTAGTTTAGGCTTACTGAGCAATTAAGTGTGGAGTGCCCATATATCCCTATCTGTCCTTTCCTTCCCTGGATTCCCCTGTGAACCTCTCCCGTTAGTTATGTTGCATTAGTTACTTGGTACATTTGTTACACCTGACTAGCCAATGTATCGAAATATTCATGGTTAAAAGCTACCTAATTAAGGAATTGTAGAATTGGTTGGAAAAGAACTTAGAGATTATCTGTCCACTGACAGAAGTTTTACAGTGTCAAGAAAAATTGCTGGGATCCAAACTACCCCGGAATCTTGTGTGGACCTTAGTCCGTGTTGAGTTTTGATGGCCGTACATGAGCGTCAGCATTCCTGTGTATGGACTTCACCTGACAGACACTTAAGCAAAACTGTTTTTTTAAGGAAATAATTCAAGAGACATTAAATAAAACAAGGGACATATCTTTTTGTCTTTCTCCCTTCCTATTTTATGGTTAAGTTCAAAATCCGTTAAACTACTTTAGAAAATGTTGGGTGTGTAAGTATATTGACGTAGTTTTTACGCATTCTTACCCAGAGAGCTGTTGTTCTCAAGGTAATAATAGTGCTGGTTGGGTGGTTACTAAGTGACAGGCATCACTCAAAGGCTTCATGTGGATTAACTCATTTACTCTTCTCACCAACCCTAGGACATCGGTCAATGCCTTGACGAAAATATTTAACCTGTAATAAGTTGTTCGAAACCTACTGATGTCACCTCTGTCTTCCCGTCGTCACAGTATTAATTGTCCCCTCATTTTATTTTCATGAAACCATCCCCAGAGCAACCATCAACATCCTGATGTCTTCCCATCAAGCATGGAAGAAACTGTCCTGTGAGAACTCAGGGCTGCTTCCATTCATTAAAGGGAAGGAAACTGTTGTTAGATGGGGCTTCTAGATAGAGTTAGGTGCTCAGAAATGTTGCTAATGGACAGGACAGGTGACGTGTCAAGAATTAGAATTTTCTAGTACGCTCTACTGTCTGGAACCCACATTTCATTTCTGTGTGTTCCCTTTCAGACTCTACTGGCTTTGAATGGGGGGTACATTTCCTGAGTTGGGTAGCCGTATAAGTTTTCTCTCTCGCCCCTGTCCTCTTCCTTTCTAGTTCCCTCCCCAGGACAGCTCCAGCACAGAATCCACAGCGTGGGACATTTCCCAGTGTCTGTGCGGCAGCCGCTGAAAGCCACGGCCTACGTGAGCCCCACCGTGCAGGGCGGCGGCGGCAGCACGCCTCTGTCCAACGGCCTCCAGCTGTACTCCAGCTCCGGCATCCCCACACCAAACAAAGCTGCCCCAGCCGGGAGCGTGGGCCGCAGCGCCCTGCCCAGACCTTCACTGGCAATAAACGGGAGCAACCTGCCTCGAAGCAAAATTGCACAGCCTGTTAGAAGGTACGAACCTTTGTCTGCTCCACAGCCGCTTTTGCAGTTTGAAATTGGAAACTGCAGGAACCATCCTCCCTTTTGGGGTCTTCGGCACGCTGCCCTGCATGACCCGACCTCTGACCCTCCTTCCTCTGGAAAGTGCTGGGGTGGGGGGTGTCCCTTCCTCCCTCCTCACTTCACTCCTGATGCGCCACCTTCGCTTTAATTCTCCAGGTAAGCTCCGTATCTGGGGCTTCCATGTATTTTTCTTCCCCCCCAGTAATTCACAGGGCCTTTCCCTTCCTTCAGGACTTCGCTCAGATGACCCCTCTGTCCACAAGTCCAAGTCCAAGTCTACCCCCTCCTCCTCCCCCTTTTTCCCCATAACATTGATCACCGTCTGAGGGACTACAGATTCTCCTGACTTTCTAGTTTATGGTCTGACTGTCCTCTCTAGAAATGTAAGCTTCATGGGGACGGGGGAGGGGGTGGTCATGAATATAAAACCCCAAGGCTAAGGACTGTGCCTAGCACAGGATAGAATTGTAAATATTTGTCAAAATAGTAATCTTTCATCAAAATAGACAAATGCGTTAGGCAGGCATATGCACTCATACCCTGTCCCCAGCCTGGCCGGGGATGGCGCCTTGGTGATCCGGAGCTGGGCCTTTGTTAGCTTATGCTGGTAAGGTGAGTGTGGTCCAGCTGGAACTTTCCTTCTTTAAAATTTCGGATTAGTTGGCAAGGCACATATCAGACAAGCTCATGGTCACGATATGCCCTTCTTGAGCTGGAGATCTTAAAGTGTTTTATGTCAATGAGAATGGCACGTCAGGGATAGTTTTGGAAGAGCAGAACATGGAGGCAGTGACTGCAGACGGCTCCTGACCAGGAACGAGGCTGTGGACGTGGGGGGGGCGGTGAGGGATGGGTCACGGTACGGTATGAAAAGGGGTGTTGCATGAGCAGGCAGTTTTCCCTTCTTTCTGTGTTAATATGTGTAATTATTTTCTGATTAGAATAGGTGCTCAGATAAACAAATTCAGAAACTATTAAAAGTAAACAAAAGTGAGTGAACGCCTAATCCCGTTACTCACATGGAAAGCATTTTGTTGCATGTTTAGTACATTCTGGCGTATTCTCCCCCTGTAAATGCAGATGGTGTTACCTTCGTGACAGACTAGAATCACATTTGACGGGTGTAGGTTGCTTGCTGTGACCCTCCATTGGTCCTTGAATAGGTCTCCAAGCTAAGCTCGTCTCATGGTGGTCAGTGCCAGGCTGTAGGAGAGGACGTTCTCCCAGATTTAGGCCAACACTGGCTATTATTCTTTGCCAGTATGCTAGGCACATCTTTATTTGTAAGGCTGCAGATTACTTCATGTGAATTTGCTGTTTACATTCAAGGAAGTACCCATTTGTCTTTAGACAGAGTGTATCTTTCTCTTTCTGGTTTGAAAATACCCTTTGTCCACGAAGGATATGTTGCAGTTCACATGTAACAACACCCACGGCAGCGAATGTGCTGAGAATGGCGTTTCCAGCCGCCGAGCATGTGCTCGGTCCAGTGCACGGCTCCCAGCACGCGCTGGAACGTGCCAGCAGCTGCTGGCCGAGTGCCGGGACTCCTGGGAGTGTATTCACGGGTCCCTTTCCATCCCTGCAGCTTCCTTCAGCCTCCAAAGCCTCTGTCTTCGCTCAGCGCTCTGAGGGATGGGAGCTGGAGAGACGGTTGCTACTGATGCGGTTCGACGTGCCCCTGGAGCACGGGAAAGGAGTGGAAATGAGGGTCGAGTTACCTAGCTGGCTAGGTAACCGTGAACGTCGGGATATTCTTTCCCATCTGCATTTTAACATATTGACTGCATTGTTTTTCAACGGACCAAGCGCCAGAGACTAATGATTGCACTTAAATATTTGCCTGAGAGAATACCGCACCGGTCTGGGAGCCGTGGTCGTGGTATTGTGACACTTAGATCTAGGGGGTTTTTGTAGAACTGCTATGTACCTGAACACTTTTCGAGGGGATTGAGATGTATCAATAATACTTTCTTTGAGTTTGTTAAAGTAACTTGTTCAGTTTACTTACATGTTCTAAACATCTTCCCATTACATGTTCGGTATTTTAATACATTGCATATTTACAACTAGGTTCTATAATTTATGCTTCGAAGTTTACTTTTTTATAGTTTACAGGAATTTTATTTTTTGTGCCTATTTCTTTTTACACCTATGTGAACCACTATGGAACAACTTAAATTTTGTGCCATAAAAATATTTTTGTGGTAAGGTACTATTTTTTTAGCTCTAGGGATAGATCAGCAAAAATCCACCATACAATTTGAAAGACCTAATTTTATGTTGAATGAGCACAACCTGAGCTGAAGCATCGCAAGGAAGTAGCCAGTTAGAGGCCCTTGTCGTTTTCTTTGTTAATTTATTGTCATACATGGGTTTCCGATTTATAAAGGCATCACGGGCTCATTGCACTTAATACCTGCAGTGTTTGCTACTGTGCCACGATTGATTTTCACTACTTTATTACAGAGGATGAGAAACTGTAATGTTTTATTAACAATGCTTCTGGAAATGGATGCATTTTAAAGCAAATAAATCTTTTTGATAGACCTTTTACAAAACCCATTTGCACTAATGAATGCTTTCTTATGGTATATGACTTAATATTTGTTACTGTGTACACTGCTCTTTTGGAATGTTCAGAAATAAAGACTATTTCAGCAATATCAGGTCACGCACGGCTGTGCAGCATGAGCAGTAAAAACACCATCTCTGTGTTTCACTATCGTTGTGAGAGCAGGTATTGCTGCTTTGTTCTTAGGCGGACCATCTATAGCTGACACGTTTGTGAAAACTGTTTCTCCAGAATGCTCCTGGTAAGAATGGGAGGTTTTGGTTTTGCAGTGAGGTGTAGGTCCCTTTTAGAAAGGCCGTCAACTCAGGTAGCCTCTTGCCCAGAAATACTTGCCGATGAACACCGTCCGTGATGAACATTTCGTGGGGGTTCGATTTGAAGTATCGTCCCAGTATCAGCATATCAGACTCTGTTACTCTGTTACGTCTGATGTATGTTACAGGAAAACTTTTCACCTGAAGGTACTATGGAAAGGTTAGGCAAAGGTTTTAATGTTAAATAAACATTAAATCCCATCCAGAACGGCTTTAGTTAACTTGCCGAGGAAATGAAATCTGAGCTAGAGGAGGTGTGAGATACTGAGGAGGAAGGAATATTTTTTGAGCACCACTTTAGTGAGAACTGTTCTAGAGATTTCGCATACATTCGTCTATTCCAAGCCACCTGCTGCTCTCCCCATTTACAAAATAAACACACTGAGTCCAAGGTAGCATGTAAACCTTATACAGACGTTTCGCTAGTCGTAAAGCTGACTTAGGAATCCAGGTTTAGCGGATCTCAGAACTCTGTTTTCCCCACTGCTGTGCTCTCCCCCTATGAGCACATGTAGTTAGTACTATTTTTTAAAAAATGGGTTTCTATACTGCTAAGGCCTAAATATCATTTTCAGTTTAAATCATTTCTATGCAAAAAAGTCTGTTCAGCTCTTGGGATGATAAAGAGCTCCGTGCTTTGGATCTCACATTCTAGTTGGCCGGAGACACAGTAAACGATCAAGTGAGTCAATCTCAGTGTAGATCCCTACTGCTCCGGAAGAGAACAAAAGGCGCTCAAAGTAAGGCGGCGGGGGGGGTGGTCTTTAAAGCAAGAGAAAACTCGAGACCCGGACAGCTCACACTATTAAATGTCACCTGCCTAGATCTCATTAAGGACTTGACCCTTGCAGACTTGGGAGATGGAGAGTTAGTCCTAAAGTTACTTCACAGAATCTTCCCCTGGAGTTCTCCAGAACACCAGCAGCCTCTTGTATCAGCATCTCATGGGAACTTACTAGAAATGGAGATTTCCCACCCCCCAGGCTTACTGGGACCGCCCTCCTGATCCGAAGAACTTCCTCCAGAACCACCCCTGCAAAGGCTTAGGATGGGGCAGGCCCGGTGAGCTGGAGGAGCAGCAGAAAGGCCGACACGGCTGCATGCAGATGGGCAGAGGACAGTAGCAGAGAGGTAAGGGCACTGTGGGCCGCGGTGCAGTTTCATGGCCCTCTGCAAGGGGAGCCGCGCCGTTCTGAGCATCAGAGCTCATGATTTGACTTAGGTTTAAATAGATCACCCTGGCATTTGGGGGAGAATAGACTAGAAGATGGCAAATGTAGATTAAACTGTTTCAGTAATCCAGGCAAGAGAGGCAGAATTGGACCAGAAGGATCGCAAGGAGGGTAGTCGAAGTGGCCAGCTTTGGGTATATGTGAAAAGTGGAGCCGTCGGGACTCCACTTTTGGATGGAGTGGACTGGATCTACTCTGTTCACAAGTGGAAACAAGCCCTTTGGGCTGGCAAGCAGAAGGGTGGAGACAGGGAGGGCTGGGACTGTGGCCAACATCAGCAAAGCAAGTCTAGATGGAGAAGAGGACTAAGGACTGGGAGCTGGGCATGAGGGCACTTCTAGCTTACATGACTTCCTGGTTCCTGTGGCTTGGCCTCAGGCAGGGAAAGACCTCTGAGAGCTTCGTATATGGAGGGGAATCAGAGATGGTGTTGGGTTAATAGAATTGAGCAGAACTTAATCTGTACTAGTTGTCACCATGTAACCAGTTACCACAAAGCTTGGCAGTCTCACACAAGCTCTCACAGTTGCTGTGGGGCTGGAGTCTGGCCACAGCCCAGGCGAGTCCTCGGGCGTAGGGTCGCGCCCCAGACTGGCCTGGGAAAGAATCTGCTTCCATGCTTACAGGCAGGATTCATCTCCTGTGTGCGTCGCTGAGCAGAGGCCACCCTCTGTTTCTTCTTCAGGGCCCTGTCCTGGGACAGCTCCCAGCACTGTGGCTGGCTTCTTCCCAATGCCCAAGTGAGAAGCTGCAGGAGAGTGAACCAGAAATGCGGAAGGTAGTCTCCCCCAGCTTAATCTTAGAAGCAATATCCCATCACTTGGCCATATTCTGTTCGTGGGAAGCAAGTCACTAGGTCCAGTCCTCCTTCAGGGTGAGGGTTTTTTGTTTTTTTTTTCCTTCCACCTGTATTTTTATTATTTATGTGGTGACCTAGTTGTTCTAATAACACTGAAAACTCCATCCTTACCCCAGTTTTTCTGTCCTAGAGCAAAGGCCTTTGTGTGTATGTGTCGATTTCAACTGTCTGTTCTTGCAGAATCCCAGAACCGTACTTTTTTTAAACACTGTAGCCTTCTAGTAAGTTTTGCCAAACAGCAAAGCTATCTTGCTCTCATGTTTTCCCTTAGGAGTGTCTTGGTTATTCCTGTCCCTTTAGCTTGTTCAAAAATACACATGGACTTGCAGTCAGTGACATTTCAGAAAAATATCCTGTTGGAATTTTGATTAGAATTGCATAGAACTTAATCAGTTTGGGGGAAATGGATTTACAATATTGAGTCTTATAATCCATGAACTTGATCTAGGTCTTTTATTGATTGAAGAATTCTTTCATCTCTCAGTTGTTCCAAGTGCTTCATGGAGCACTTTTGTACTCTTTGCCAGATTAATTTCTAGGTATTTGACATTTTTATGCTATTGTGAGGGATATTTTTAAAAATTTCATTTCCAGCATTTTCTTGAATGTTTTATTCAACCTTAAATTTATGTCAGCTATATATAATTTATTGTTAGCCTTTACTTACATAGTCAAACATATGAGAATGAGTTTTAGTTCTTCCTTTCCTGTCCTATCTTTGCTTTATCTTGACTGTAGTCGTCAATGCAATATTAAATATAAATGATATTTTTCTTTTTGCTAATTTCAAAAAGAAAGCGTTTTTACCATTAACTTTCAAATTTGTTAAGAGCATTTTTAATTACAAAAGTGAATTTTAGCCATTTTCTGCATCTATTAAAATATCTCTTCTAGTCTTAATATGCCAACTTGATTTTTTTTTTTTTTTATTTGTCAGAGACAGAGGGAGAGAGAGTGAGCGAGCACAGGCAGACAGAAGCAGAGGGAGAAGCAGGCTCCCTGCCGAGCAAGGAGCCTGATGTGGGGACTCGATCCCAGGACGCTGGGATCATGACCTGAGCCGAAGGCAGCCGCTTAACCAACTGAGCCACCCAGGCGTCCCGATTGATTTTTTTTTAATATTGAATCAACCATGATTTATATATGAATCCAAATTGGCCTGGACATTTTATTCCCTTTTAAAGATAGATGGATTTGATTTATTAATGTTTAGGATTTTTGTCCAATTTTTTGAATAAAATTGATCTATAATTTTTCTTTTTTTTTAAAGATTTTATTTATTTGACAGCGAGAGAGCATGAGAGGGGAGAGGTCAGAGGGAGAATCAGAATCTCCGCTGAGCAGGGAGCCCAATGGGGACTCGATCCTGGGACTCCAGGCTCATGCCCTGAGCCGAAGGGAGTTGCTTAACCAACTGAGCCACCCAGTAGCCCTGTTGTAATTTTTCTTAATTCTAAAACCTGATAAAGATAATTTAAGATCATGTTAGACTCATAAGATGACTTGAGAAGTACTTTGTGTTCTATCTGGACAAATTTATATAATATTGGAATTATTTCTCCTTTAAAAACCAGTGATAAATCTCAGTGGTGAAGCCATTGAGGCCTAGAACCCAGGTCATGTTTTAAAAATCTGGTGTTGTGTCTACTTATTGTACTTCCACAAACATTATAAGAAAACCTACCTCAGTGGTGGACATCTGCACCACTGCCAAATTTTGTTTCAGGTCTTTTGAGGATGTAGGATTTGGTGTATTTATGTGGATATGCTTTATCTTCCTCACAGAGTGAGCATGTTATTGGAAATACTCTTTTTTTTTAATTTTAAATGACTAGGAATCTATTTTTCTGATACTAAGTAGCTACAATAGTTTTTTTTAGTATTTGTAGGATATATATTTTTTAAACCTTTGCTGTTAGACTTTTATCATTGTTATATTAAAACAGCATATAGTTCACTTCTTAACCTAGTATGACAATCTTTGTCCCTCTG